TTAATCGCGATTTAAAACAACATAATGTAACGTTGACTTCTGGTCTAAAAAAGACAGGAAGTAAACTGCATTTAAGCCAGCGGAAGCTCTCTTAAAGGATACTTTTGTAAGCGGACAGCTCTACTAACGGCCGCCTTCACAAAACGCCCTTTTAACTCCAATACATACTCTGTATTTTTATAACTGTTTTATATTTCCGTAGGGGGCCGAGGACACTTTCAAGGTTTACGAGTTAGATCGTAAGCTCCCGTAAACAGATGCGCGAAATGAAATCTCATTCGCCTCTGAATCTTTAACAGATCAACTTCATATCGCTGTTCATCATAGTGAATTTATATCAGTTTTATTGTTTGTTGTTTTTTTTTTTTCACATGCTCATACCCACTTGAATTTTATGCTTGTGACTATAATGTATATCAAATATATATAGCTGGGCAAGCACGTAAACGGCCATTTAACCCCCTCCAGTGGCCGCATACGAGAACCATGGCCATAACCAGCCATCACCAGTTACGGACACCTTTCAGTTACGCTTCCCGAGAGTGTCCGCTTACGAGAGCTTCCATCGTGATAACCCAACGTTTAACATTCTTATGTTTCTGTCATAGAATCAGGCCTGGTGAAGTTTTCAATGCTTTAAAGGACTTTTATCTAGTCATTAGATCAATCAGGTACGGAGTAACTCTTAATAATCCTTTACACAAACCAACTGGTTGATAATCTCCCGCGTAAAATTTAAAACAGTAGAAATGATGCATCACCTCAATTGATTTTGAAGTTTAAAATTCTCAAGAGGAATGGTGCAAATACGATTATTGATCTTTACATATGTAATGAAACTTTAAAAATAACCCCCAATCCTGACTGGACGTTGCACTATTAATATTTCTGAAAACAGATCCCGATTTACCAGCCAATTTTCGCGCAGTAAGTGCTGCTTTGTAATCTCTAATTTTTGCAAAGGTGTCGTTCAACAGCGCGAATTTTTAACCCTATTTTCTTGAAAACTCCATACAAGGAAAAAAAACTTAGGGAAATTACTGATTTTAACCAGCTCTTTGATTTCAGTTGGCCATTTGCATGATGGCGTAATTTTACTACTATGACCAGAATCCTTTTCGTTTTTTCTTTCGTATTTAAATTCGGTTATCCCAGCAAAATTATGAAGGATTCTGGTCGTGGTAGTAAAATGACGTCATCGTGCAAACGGCCTAAATGGTGTCTGTATTTGTTTAATCAAGTGACTTTTCATACTTGAAAGAAACATGCATGTACGTACTTCTCAACAAAAATTAACGTCTTTCAATTCTTGATTTGTTTTTTAGTTGTTCATTAGAGGAATTGGGGCCTGAAACGGACAACGTGGTGCTTGCGTTTAAGCAGCTGGCCGAAGAGTTTGGAGCGAAATTCAGGAAACAATATGACGTTGACATTTAAATTTCTCCCTGCCAAACCACTTGTATGGACTTAAAGAGTGCCTTAATATTGGGTAACTTTTTTAACCTGCATCAGCATGGCTCCAATAAGATACTTTTTCAAAGAATGCTGATAGGAAGGATCTATAGCTTTATTTATTTGTTCTACTATTTCAGGCTATGAAAGAAGAAAAATGTAAACATTCATATATAACACTTTTCAGCGTTAGCGAAATGTCATTTTAAGAGAAGTGCAATAATTTGGTATACAGCTGATTGAAAAAATGTTGTGGCTTAAAAAGTTTAAAGCATGGACGATGAGACCTAATGGTTCATGGCTAGAGGTTTATTGGCATCGCAAATTCAAAGTTCTTTATAGAAAGCTTACATTATCACGAGTTTCTTGTGCCGATGTATTCCAAAAATTTTCAAACGGTTTCCAGTTTTCTTTATAGGCGCTAAGCCGAAAACTTCACCTTTGGAGATATGCTTCTTCAAGGATCTCTCTAGCTATAGTTATTTCTCTAGGCACATCGCCAAAGTACACCGTTGAAAATCTTAAGATGAAACCCAAACGTTTTCTGGACAGAGTAAACGAAAAAACGGCATGTTTCAAAAAAAGAACTCCGACCCGTGATTTACGCCCACACCAGAAGCTCGTGATAATCAGGATAATGTAAGCTTTTCTAGAAAAAATATTGAATTTGCTTTGCTAACGTATGCCCATAAATTCTTGAAACCCCATCGTTTCGTGGTTTATATTTTTTTAAGCTGCAACGATTTTTTCATCAGGTATATAGGGCAGTTGAGCAGACGGCTCGAGAACTTTTTGAGGCTGTTTGGTCCAGAATAAATATATTAAGTAATTTATTATTGTGAATTGAATTGTCAATAAACAGTAAACTGAAGAGGCACGAGTTCAGGACTATTCTTTTTTATATTTAGTACAGGAACAATTGTGATTTACTTTACAAGTGTTCTTAAAAGGAGTCAGGATAAGAAAAAATAGGTTACCATTTTGCCTAAATATATTGGAAGAATCCGAAGGGATAACGCTGCAGCACTGGCGTCAGTAGAGTGTAGCCCACACGTCTTAACAATTGTGGCTTATTTGCACGACAAGTGTATCTTCGTTTTTAATAATTTTCTCATATACACCCACAACTTTATAATATCTTTGCATAGTAGGGGCTGTCATCTTAGTTGGTTCAAAGAATCCACTATAACCCGACCATCTCGATCCTTGACCCGCACACGTCCCGTGGCATACCGGGTCTCTGTTCGACCATCCGGATAGACTGTCTTTACTGTCCCATCAGGGTACTCTCTTTTCTAAATGTGGACAAAAAACACGTCACTCAGAGAACAACACTTAACAAGTCGAGGACCTGCAGTTCTGAAAAAAAAAAACATCTTTTACGCCTGATTTAGTTTCTAGGAGAGGAGCAATATGGTATTACCTCTTACCCAACTTGTGAGGTCAATCTTCGAGTATTCCTTCGCTATTTTTTTTTTTTTAAATCACAGCTCAGTGGGAGAGCATTTAACCGATACACTGAACGTTCTATTCTTGTGGGGCGTACAAGAGCGCAAGCTTTTTTTTATACATTTGTCTTTTGTTTACTTTTCAAAATGAATTAAGACCTCGAGACGTAAGAATCATAATCAAGTTGTGACACTCAACGTCCCGCAGTGAGACACGTCGCGGTATGAAACTAGGAAAGCCACAGTAAGAACTCGAGCAACACAAGGTACAAAGTACAAAATGTTGTGTCTCCACCTACTTTATAGCACTTGGTGTGAGTTTCCCGTTGTCCATTTGGGAATTCAATAGTTCTCTCTCCTTCCACGTTAACCTTTTGTATGGTACCGTCACTAAACACGCATTCTTCCGCTCCATTTGGGTACAGGTACTTAATGGTCTGATCAGGAAAGATGATTTCCTTTGTTCCGTCACGGTAGTGCTTCTCAACCTGTTTGCTGATTCGAAGAGAAGCAAAGTCATTAGTGGATGGCACTTTTAGAAACTTGGTGTTTAGTTCAACGAAAAGAAATACAGAAAGAAAGGTGAAGTGATTCAATCCATTGAGTGTTATGTTCAGACCTGGGAAATTGAAGCACTTCCAGTCCATCAGGGTATGTGGTATGAGTAGTCTGCGCTTCTGAATAATAGTAAATCTGATCAAGAAAATAAATGAAGAATTAACAATTTGGAAGACACTTATTTCTAAGGCATTTCAAAGTTTATCATCCGGTTCTGAACTTTTCGCCAACTAACCAAGATATAGCGAAAATCTCTTGCATGTGATTTCGTGAATTTTTTACTTTATAGTCCGAAGAGAAACAGAAAAGTTAACTATCTTGCTTTTTCGTTTATCCCTTAACCTTCAAGATTTGATTGTTGTTTTGCGGCCGTGTGACGACAGAGAAATGTACTAAAATGTGAAACGCACGTGCACACCGGCCTTGTTTCGCACAGTGCTGCAGTTTTGGCTGCCATCACCATCGTGGTTGCTCAAACTAGTCATCATCTTCAAGACCGTAGACTATCGCCACCAAATAGACACTGCGGCGGACGTTTGCCTCACATGTTTGCGACACAGAACTTGGTAAGGTGAGAGATTTTTATAATATTAATTTCCTGTGTGTTTCACTTTACAAAGCTTTCTAAGAACACTCGCCTTCAACTCGCCGAATTTAGCACCGTTCACAGAATAGCTTGTACGCAGTAATAGAGTCATTCCTTTTTCATGATATATTTGGTATATCTGCGAGACTGTATTTATTCCATTGCCCATAAAAGTCGATGGTTTGATATATATATCAATGCAAGTGTACGGCTCTGCGACATTTTTTGCTACAAGTTTGGCTTCCGCGTGCTGCATTTAAGTCAGACAAGACGAAGAATATGGAATCAGACGCAGAATATTTCTTAGATTGTTTTGAGATATCTTTCTTCTTAAGCGTTCTTTGGGCTCAGACAGCTAGTTCTCAGACTAAGAAGTATATAAAAATGTAAAATATCGAGAACGAGAGCGTTCTCACAACAAAACAACGACTTACGCCTTGTATTTTTAACAAACTTTAGGTGTTTGAAATTATGATGAACAGATCATGAGTTTGATAGAAATTCTAAATAAAAATTATTTTGAACTCTTGGGCTGCAAAATTAAAAACGAGAATTTTTTTCAAACAAGACACGACGCACAACTTCCTTCATCCCATGCTCTTGAATTTTAAAAGAAAATGAGTTTTAAAGGGGCGTTTACACGTGCAACTGCTCGCAGGACAAAATGGTAATTTTTCCTGATTTTTTGTAGCTATTTTTGACAATGCGCAAGAGAAGGACAGAAATCGGTCTTTCCCCGCGAAAATCGCCGCAATTTTAGAGTAAATTTAACTGCGTTACCATCGAATTTTAAGCGTCTTTGCTGCTCTAAACCGCGCTGATATTGCCCACAGTTTAGACGCAAGGGAAAATTGCAAGTGTTACCGGCTTTAAATACGCTGAGGGTCGCAAGAGAGGGAGCCATGTGCCAACGACAAAAAATGTTAAGCGGCCCTCCCAGCTGTCTAGAAAAGATCGAAATATCACACAAGAGAACGAATAGTTTATCTTACCACTCGCTGATCAGGCATAATTTGCTTGATGTCTCCATTAAAGAAAGTGACGATAACGGTCTGGCCGTCAGCACTGATTTCTTTTCTTGTACCGTTTGCAAAGGAAATGAGACGAGAGCCGTCGCTGTTGACTTTTTCCACCTAAAAGCAGATCAATAATGGATATCATCACTGCTTTTTAGAAACCTTGCGCTGTAAACTATGGTTAGCAAGTCGAGTCCTCCACTGTCAAAGCCAGTAATTTGACTTTGCATGAAGCTGTTATACACACCTTAATGAATAAATCGAAATTAGTTCAACTCATGCAAAATTTTCACTTGATTATGGCAGTCTAGCGCATGTCACTTTTTTAACCTGTCCTATTCGGAAAACGCCCGTGGTCTGAAGTAAACAAACTCATAAATAATATTGGAGATTGTTCCGGGCCGGTGAAATTTGCTTGTACGCTCAAGAGAGCAAGATCTGCCAGCGTGGTGGTACCAATTTTAAGCCGGCAATTAAGTCTGGAATTCCCTTCGAAAGCACCAGAGATGAGGTAAGGTGAAGTAATTTTGCGGCTGACCTCCGTTACTAGTTAACTACACAGTACATAATCACCTTTCCATCAGAATGCATGATTTCCCTTTGGTCTTGCCTTCCTGTTCTTTCACATGAATTAGCATCCTCTTCTTCTCCATTCTGTCGAGCTGTCTGTTCGTCTTGAAAATGAACATTTCTTTTTACTTTTTCGCTGTCAGGCGTCTTGCTTCTTCGTCTTGGACTGCTGCAAGGAAAGTCAGTTTTGCTAATTTAATTCAATAAGTACAACCGCCAATGTGTAAGCTTTTATAGTATATGCAATCGCACCACTAAATAGTCCTTGGGGGAAATGGTTTGAATTCGAATCCTTTGCTGTGCTAGCCTACCAATTAAAACTTCACTGTGACTAAAAAAACTTTGCAATCAAAAAATTCTTTCGCCATGAAGGAGCTTACTGTGCAACAAACTTCAATGTCATCTAACAAATCACTGTTTCACCTGATATCACACGTTAAATG